TTGCAAATATCACGTCGTCTCGGATGGTAGTTTTGGCGGGAAAATGTGCATTCGTAACAATAGTCTATAAAGCCTGGTTTCTATCATTTCGTATGGCTGTTAACGTGTCATAACAGTGTCACAAATCTCGCAGAAATAAACTGTGACAACTCTGACTAGGCTTACACTCGAAAACTAGGCTTAGGTAAGCACGTCCGCGTCACAAATTCGCGTTAACCTCGCAAGCCAGAGTCTTTACCGTCCGCACGGCGGCGACGGCATAGGCGTACCTGGCGGGGGGGGGCGGGGGGGGGGGAGGGCGGCAGACCCCCCAGTTTTTTGGGCAGTCGGGCAATATTCGATTAACAGTCGGGCAATTTTGGTTTGTTATAAAAATAAATCGGACAAATTCAGTCAATTTTTTCGAAAATGTAGTCAATTTTGTGGTTTTTTTGAAAATTTAGTGTTTTTTTGACGCTCCGAAAAATTTTGGTATGTCCGGAAAATTTTTTTGACCCCTTAAATGGTACACTGACGGGAGGTCGCCAAAAGAATTCTTCCGGGAAAAATTTTTTGGTAGTAGTCGGGCACAATCACGAAAAGTCGGGCAATTTTACGAAAAGTCGGACAATTTTCTTTCCGCCCCCCTAATTTTTTCCTTCGGGTACGCCCATGGGCGACGGCGCTACAAAAAAGCGCCGTGCGGAAGTAAAGACCCTGGCAGTGCGAGGTTGACACTGAGGTTTACATGTTATCGTATCGTTATCGTTGTGTAGTGTGACCGGACCACATAATAAGGACCGGGCCTTTAGCTTAGCTTTTATCCATAATTTTTGGAAAACACGTTGATTTTGATTGGCCACCTTACTTATAACCCAGAGCTAATATAAACCCAAACTCTTCCAATAGCCGAATTCATATTAGGGACGGGAAACTCGTCTTAGACGGGAAACTCGTCTGCGAAAACCCGTCTCAGTATGAATTTAGGGACGGGTAAATTTGAATTTAAGACGAGTTTCCCGTCTAGACGAGATTCCCGTCTAACTTTCCCGTCTGTTTAGACGGGTAAGTTAGACGGGAAAGTTCAGACGGGAAACTCGTCTGCGCCCGGATTCATATTAGACGAGTTTCCCGTCTGAGACGAGTTTCCCGTCTAAGACGAATTCGGCTAATCTTGGTGGGATTAACGGATCACTTCATTTAGCCAATCAGATTACGAGATTTTTTGGATCGTGATCTGATTGGTTAAAATGAAGGCGGACCAGAAAGTAGACGGGTACCTACAAAATGGCGAAATAGTTGGTATCCTGGCATGAAACTTAGAACTTAAAATATTTTAATTTAGGTTTTTAGTTGTGTTTTTAAATTTGATATGACATAATCGAGTAACAAAGTAGTAGTTTTATCAACCTCGTCCCCAGGCCGCGAGGAAGATCCTGGGAACGAGGTTGTAGTTTTATAACTTATAAGTTAGATAAAAAAGCACAAAACACACTGCTAACTTTTTTAGTCGAAATTCAATTGATCGGTAAATTAGAAGATCCGTTTTACATCGGAAGGGTAAGTTATGCCGTTGTAACTGATTCACGTTGTAACCAAATAAAATTTTTAAAAAGAAAAGTGCCCCATCAGTCCATACTTCCCGACTCTGCTAGCTCGTATCGGTCTATTCCGTCTCGTGCTAGCCGCTAGAACGCCGTATGTTAACGTTTAAGCTAGATTTCGGCTAAACTCAACGCTATCGTCAGAGGCGGGTGAATAGGTGGCTAACCAACCGGTATCGAACGAACGACGGGGGAGAGTGCCGGCGGCCCCCAGACCATTATGCCTGGCACCCTTTTTGCAAGATCCTATGATCGGTAACTACCACACACAAGTAATAGTAACAGTTCCGTATATAAGTACGTTACAGTTGCCCTGTGTGGTGAATGTGGGACGCTTTAGCTCGGTGTTTACCAAACCTTTGAAACAAACGCATGCGTGATAAATTGACACTCGGGCAAACCAATCAGGACGAAGGAAAATTTCGCGCCGGTCCCGCGAGTTCGAGACATGTTCGAGACAGCTCAGAGTCAGAAAATCGGAAATTTCAAATTTGTGTACAAAACAAATCAATCATATTTGTGCCTTGTTTTTAATAGTGAAAATATTTAAGTAAATATATATTATTCACATGTATTTGCTTGTCGAAGACGAAGGTTGAGATTTAAAGAATATTGGCTAGCCAAGGCGATAAATCTACTGGAAAAGATGAAGGCGAAGTGAGATCTACATTCTACACGACTACACCGTCAAATCCGTCAATTATACCGCCGTTGGTTTCTGGAACTGGTACGAAAGGTACAAAGCTTTTATATTTTTATATTTTGTACTGTTTTCTTTCCTTTTTTAACGATAGTTGATGAGAAAATATTATTGTCTAAAGCTTGCTTCAATCGTCAAAGGAGGAAAGTTTATTTTATATAGTACGTATATGTGTGAGTGCCACCATTTGTATTTTATACGAATCCTATTAATAATTATTAACTTTAATCCTGTTAGGGCTTTTAGAGCCTGGATTTGTAGCTGGATAATATAAAATTTCTAAAATCTTGCACACAGTGTATATTGATTTCTTGCATACAGGAATCCTGTTACAGGATTAGAGTACATGTGACCCTTCTGCCAGAAGGGTGTACTTTCCAGAAGTTCTGGAAAGTATCTCACTTTGGCTATAAGTCATAATGTCAATCACGAAATGATGGCCAAGGTGAGTACTTTCCGGAAGCATGTCTAATATATATTGTCTTGAATTGTATGATTCAGCTAGGATATATAATATGAAACGTTAGATAGTTAGTATTTAAGTAATATAATCAGGGATTCAAACATCTCAGACAAGTGACAATAATTAGATTACAGTATTGTAATGTATAGATTATAATTATACACTGTCTACACTGTATGTTTGTATTTCTTTTCGTTCACAGTATAGTTTACAGGTACAATAAGTACTATAATTATACATTGTAGTTGGTAAAGAGCTCAAGCTTACAGTTAAATCGTGCAATCACACAACCTACAGAAAATTCAGTTATCTGCTAGCAGATAACTGAGTTTTAATGTCTGCAAATGAGCCTGCGATGATTAATGTAAAAAGGGTCAATATAGCGGTTCTAACTTTTTTTTTCTGGGTTTTTTTCTAAGTCTTTTTTTTTCTGAGTTTTTTTCCAAAGTCTTCCAGATTTTTTCTCCCCAATTCCCCCAAGTTTTTTCCAAGTCTTTTCAAAGTCTCTAAAAGAATTTTTTTTCCAAGTCTGGAAAAAAAGTTTTTTTCGAAGAAATTAAAAAACATTTTTTTTCACGAAAGTGATTTTTTAAAAAGAACTATATGTATAGTAAATAAAGAAAGAGTATGAGTCTGAAAAAAACCCGTTTCGGTTCGGAAATCAAAAGACTTGCGTCGGAACGTAAGAGACGGAGGGAATTAAGATGTTTTGGAATGAATGAGATAGATGATGAAAGAAGACAATATTACATGAAATGGAAGGAAAGACGTGCTAGGAAACTAGTCGCGGAAGAAGAACGCAACAGGTTGGAACAAAAACGCAAGAGGTTGGAGGAAAAAAAAACTTTTTGGGAAAAGCAGTACCGTCGTATCGATGAAATTAAGGATAAACTTTTATCTGAAAAAAATTATGAAATTTTATGTCGCAGGGTGGAAATGGAAAAGAAGGGTTTTGAATTCAGGCTGGATCTGGAAAACGATGAGAGGGATAACACGCGAGCCTTGCGAAAAGTTCTCGGTCCCGACCGTTATCTGGAAGATGGTGGTTACGATGAGATTGAAATACTTATCTGTCCTAATGAGGTTGATAATACGGAAGAGGAAGTGGAAAATTATATAGACTATGGAATTTTGGTGTATGGTTAGAATTTTTTTATTTATACGAATAAAAAAATATACAATAAAGGAAAATGTCTATCACCAGAGTCTCGGACTTCACTAAAGATTCGTTCTGTTTCGAAGATGCCGTTGGAAACAGGTACGGATCCAAAACTATAGGATTAACGGCATGTGATCAGGGTCCTCTTTTGTTGAAGGTAACAGATTGTTTATCGTACGGAGTGAGTAAAAATAATAAGTTCGGTAAGGAAAATCTTTCCATTTCCCTATCCCTTTGGGAAAAGTCAGGGTTCGTATCTGTTTTGGAATTAATTGAAAAAGAATGTGCCAAACATATCGGTAAGTCGGATGAAAAGATAATGAAATGTCTTTACCGAAAAGGTAACACTCCGGTCTTGTATCCGGGGATCAACGACGAAACGGAAATTTATGCATCGGAAGGGAACGATCCCATCGATCCTAAAAAATATTTGGATAAAAGATTTCATCTTGATGCGATCGTTAGAATCAAAGGAATTTATATATCCGACAAAACAATTTGTATCCAGATAAAATTATACGAAGGAAGTATATTGGAAGAAAAACCAAAGGTACCAAGAAAAAGACTTTTACGAGATTATGTAAAAACATTAAAATTTATAAAAAAAATTCCATTAAATAAAAGAATGAATCCAGCAACAACAGTTATTTATTCGGCAATGAAAATAGTGGGAAGAAACGAAACGGAAATTCCGAACGTAAGATTAACGGACAGAGAAGCCGATATTTTATATGCGACGTGTGCCATCTGTGCATCGTCTGCATTTTCCATCTTGTTATTCGTAGGTTCAAAGTTAGTAAAAATGTGTCGTGAGAAAGAAAAGAAAAAAGAAGAATTACCAGTTTATCCACCGTCTGCGTGAGAATTTTAATTTTATAAAAATTAAAATTTATTCAGGATGATCATCACCAGCAACAGTTCGAGTGTGATCGGAATCAGAAGACAACTGATTAGGCTTGTCCACAGCAATATTCTCCATAGGAATAATTTCATCTTTTATTTTTCCATCGTAATTTTTAACGGTTGTACTGACGTATCCGATCTGTGTATGAATGCTGGTCGTTGCATCCCCGCGATCGAATCCGAATCCTAAACTAAACATTTTTCGTCTCTTGTGGTTTTTATTATGTTTAACAACACTTTCGGATTTTGAAGAAAGACATCCCATCCTTTAATTAAATGAAACCGTTTCATATGATTATCGTGGGAATGACGGCATGTGGAAAAACACATTATCTGATCGAAGAATTGAAGACGACGTATTTTCACGAATTTTCCGAAATCTTTTTAATCTGTCCAACATATCATCGGAACAAAACGTACAACCAAGACTTTATCTTCAACGATCCGAAATTTTTTGTGATTCCGTGTCATCAGGACGACGTGGAAGATTATTTAAAATTTGTTGCGAATTATGCATCGGGAAAAGATTCGTTGATTATCCTGGACGATTGTGCAAGTACGAAATTCGTCAAGGATCGTACAGGTGAATTGGTGAGACTTGGATTTAGTGGAAGACACGAACAGATATCAACGATCGTAATTACGCAACAGTTGACATCGATCGCCAAACCGTATTGTAAAAATATATCAAAACTAGTGACGTTTTATACTTCGGATGTTGATGATTCGAGAACGATCCTGGGAGAATGTCTTCGTTCGAAATGTACAAAATTAGGTGACGAAATTTTTGAGGAATTAAAACAGAATAAGTATTCACATCTTGATGTTGAAATGGTTTTTCCATACCATTATAAAATAAAGTACAAGTAATGGAAGGAGAAGAGAATACAACACATGAAAGGACGGAACAGGAAATATTCGAAGATACGCGGGCCGAATTAATTCGGTTATCGAACGCGGGTGAAATTAGTCAATCCGAGAATTATTTGAAAAAGGCAACACCAAAAGTCATTTTTAAAATCAAACGGGAACACATTCTGAATCAACGTGAAAAGGCAAATGTTTTACTTACGGAAACGTTGATCGAAAAATTTTCGGGATTGTTGGAAAATCTTCGTATGATCGATAGCGGCGAAGAATTAAAAGGAGAATTAAATCAAGACAAATTATTAAAAAGTGATGTGAAAAGTCTTGTGGAAAAAATATCGCCGTACATTCCATATTTGGGGATTTTAAGTGGCGGCGTGACGACGGTAAAACATGTGTACGGAAGAAAAGGAACGGAAGACGTGAAAGAGGAGGATGAAAAAACGGAATAAGGATCTTTTTCATATTTCCAGAAAAAATATGAAAAAAAGATAATGTCGGGATACACGACATTCTAATATCGCACGCCACTTAATTGTCCGTTGACCATTTTAATCACACCGTCCGAAAGAACGAACGTATAACAGATGACGTTGGCGGTCGTTGCTTTTTTCGTGATTTCGATGAGAATTCCAGACTGTGTATTTTGAATTTTCACACCGTTTCCGTACGTTTTGTCATCGCTTGCCGTACGTAAGTCAATGACCAATGCAAACTTTTTATCCTTGTAAAATTTAATCAAAGACTGTTGTCCGTTCGCATCGGATCCAAAAAGACGCTTGGCTTCCTCGTACATCCTCGTCTTCGTCATGCCCTGACTGTACACAACATTCGGAACACCTTCGATCGTCACTTTGACTTTATCGATATTCGGGAAGACGTATTCTTCACTATCGGTCGGTGTTTTTTCCGTGAATAGCATGACGATGGCTTTCATACTTCGACGTGGAAGATTGACGGTTTCGTTGACGATCGTCAAACTTTTATTCCATTCGGTCTTTTTCATCAACGTGGCATGTTCGAAAGATAATTCGCGTTCGGCTCCGTAGAGATTTTCAGATTTTCGTGCAAGATTAACATTTTCGATAGATTCGTATTCCAATTCTAAATTTTACAGGGAATACCCTTCGACATTTTCTCCGCCTTGTGCATTCATGATTTCGGAAGCTTGTGGTAACGTGATCACATACTGAAGATCGTTGGCCGAATGATACGGAGCATACAATCCGTGATCACCTAAAATCTTCGTAATTTTTAACCGTTGTTTCGTTCCGAAAATTCCAAACAATGCAGCGGCATCGGCGTCGGCATTCGCCTCGTCATCTTTGGAGATTTTCTTACGAACGGCTTCGGACGTAATTCCGTCTTGAATCATATCCGCACGTTGTTTTTCATCCATCCACAAGTCTTTGTAAATTTCCAGTAGACTTTCACCGCTGTTATCGTAGACTTTTTCACCGGCGAGACGAATCTCTAATCTTTTTTGTAATAATTTTCCCAAGTTATTTCGAAACCATGATTTTTCGTTGGCATTCTTAAAGTCAAAGATTAATGCCATACTATCGGGAACCAGAACAGAATCCGGTTTGAGTTTTGGAATATTCACATAGATTTCTTCCCCGGGTTTCGCCGAATTCGGATTGAACGTGATCAAATGTCTCGTTCGGTTTCCCGTTAATTCCGTCCTGGATCGACGGCTGAAACTAGGATTAAGTTCTTGGGTACGACTTTCCATTCTTTTATTTCATGGGAATGAAATAAAAAAATTATTTTTTCTTCGTGAAATAATTGTACAAGTATCCTGCGATGAGAATGGCAAGAATCCATAGATTTTTCGCAAGAAATTCTATTCCTTTCGCACCCCATTTCAGAACGGTCGCTAGCATATTTAAGATGGGAACGAGAACGGGAAGGGCAGCTTTTGCAATTTTTCCCAACGCTTTTCCAACTTCGCCCACACCTTTTGCAGCACCGACCAACGTCTTTTTTCCGGCGACGACGACGGTCGTAATAATTCCGGCGATGGAAATAGCGATCGCAGATAAAACTCCTAAATTTTCTTTGGCCCAGATTTAAAATTTTTCAAATCTCGTCCGTACATCCTCGCGAACTTTTTCTCGAACGCGATGCACACCTTCTTCGGATTCGGGAAGTTCACGCATTTCTAATTTCGCATCGTCGATATTTTGATCGATAATTTCTAACGCCTCGCGAAAAATATCTCGACGTTCAGGACCGGATTCGGTTTCAAAATCTGTTTTGTGTTTTTGACGTTCTAGCTTTAAATATTTAATCCGTTCATTAGGTTCACCTTTGGGAACGGTAATTCCAACTAATTCTCTTGCTTCCTGTTCGGTAAATTTTCCATCGTGATGGAATTGTAAAACCCGATCACGAAATTCATGATTATCGTCGATATTTTCACGATGAATTTCGTTGCGCACATCGCTGGAAATATCGTCAACAGTTGATGGATTCCCATCTGGAACTTCTTCTTCTGTAATACTGTTGAATGTTCTTTTATGTTCTTCCGTAGCTTTTTCAAAGATAGTTCTAAAATCTTTCAGTACTTGTACGTTTGATGTATCTTTCGACAAGAAGTATTTCCCATTTCTGTCGATGAAAGCTACTTTGGTTCCGTTGAACGTTAACCGGTATTTATCAACATCTAGTTGAGAAAATAGATCTTTTGAACGAGGTCCGTCGTCCGGATTTAAATTATAATCTTCTTTAAAAACTCTCTTTATGTACTCAGATTTCAGATTTACAGATGATCCGGTTAAATACAGGGAAATAGTTTCCTTCTTTCTTTTTTTAAATATATCATCTTCATTATTCCTTTTAAAATCTGTTTAACCATAATTCGTCGTATCGTTTATTTAAATCATCGTAATTTATTTCATCATTGTCCAAATTAGTTTCCTCCCAGTCATAATCGTAATCTTGTTCGTAGTCCTGTCCGATCTCATCAAGTTCGATAGCTTCGGCCATAGTTTATTTACCACTTAGATCCAACGATAATTCGTGTTCGTAAAATCTTCCTTGAATTTCACGATCGTCATCGTCGGGATCGATGAGTTTATACATGTTCGGATCACCGCGAAACACTTCCGAGACAACGTAAACATCGTCGGAATAATTCGGGGTGTAACCTTTGTCAAAAGTTTTGCGGTAAATTTGATCTCGGACACGATCTCCGACTTTAAATTTTGGTTCTGGAAAATGAGATAACGGATAACCGTAAAGTTTAACCCAGACTTTATCTTTATTGGTTTCGTTCACATCGGCAGGTTTCATATCGATCGTACGATGTTTCGAATGATTATACGATGCAACAAAATTATCCAGAACGTCGATCCATTTTTTTGACTTGGTCGTAAATTGTTGTTCGGTAAAATATTTCCACATTCTTGTTTTTAACGTCCTGTTGAATCTTTCGACGACCGCTGCTTTTTTTCCAGTCAGTCGCGTCGAAAAATAATGAATGTCATGTTTTTCCAATAATCCTTTGACTCCGTTATTGTAAAATTCTTTCCCTTCGTCAAACTGAACGACTTTGGGATAACGTCTAAATCTTTCGTGAAATTGTTCCAAGATTTTTTCGACGGCCGGAACCATATCTTCCGTTCCTTTTCGTTTGGCGGGAACGACAAATGCGTAACGACTTAAAATTTCGATGGATGTTAAAATCCATTTGTAACCTTTATTCGCACGACTGTAGGTCTGCATATCAACTAAATCTAATTGTAATTGTTGTGCGAGTCCATCGACGTACGTTCGTTGCGTTTTAAAATGAACTCGCGTCGGTTTGTGAACGACGTACGTATTTTGTGTTTGTAACCATTTTTTCACTTTTTCACGCGTGACACCTGGAATATCTTTTTTTACTGCATCCCGATAAAGTTTTTCCATCGACATGTATCCACCGTTTACGTTAAAATACAGTTCGCGTAAACTAAGATCGAATGCATCCATAGTTTATAATAAATGAAAAAGATTACAGTTTTTATTCGGAACGGAGAAACTACGATGAAATTACAGAGTCCGTTGATTCTAACACCCGAGTCTAAACTTTACGTGAAAACTGTTGCTTTATTTTGGACTTACGAAAATATTCGAAAAGACGACAATAATTATTTTTCCGTCGATAAGACAAAAGTCATGTTGAAAAATGGATACTGGACGTTTAAACAATTGCGTCAAAAATTAGAAAGTCACGGTCTCGTCGTCGAAGATTTTCCAGACGGACGGATTCAAATAAAATTTGGAAAAAGCGTCAAATCTTTTAATCCGTGGAAATTAGGTCATCTGTTGGGATACACGACATTCTCGGAATTACATCCGGGTCAACATCCCGTGGATATTCACGAAGGATTACGTTACGTGACGATCGGTTGTAATTTAGCGAACCGTTCACAAAATATAAATCCCGACGGCTATCCCAGTAGTATCATATCGTCCCTTCCCATCGATGGAACAAAACCTTTATTCGGAACGACGACGAAATACAATGACATCGAAAGTGAAGACTTCAGATCGTTAGCAGCCTGTTACATCACAACATTTAAATCTGGAATTTCAGAAAACCATTTGAATAATACTTTGTCCGATTCCCATTTGATCACATCCATCGTGAAATTCCACGTTCATTATCAGATGGAAAAATTCATGAAAGATCCAAAATTACTGGATCATTATTTAAACGAAGACGATCTTCACATTTTAGGAAAATACATGCCGACGACCGAGACGTGGGAACGTCGAACATTATCTTCACATGCAAACATCGGAACGTGGTATTATGGATTGCCTACCGATACGCGACGAATAATTCGGAACCAACGTTACGTTCGAACGCGGTACGGTGGAACGTATATTGTGTACGAATACTTAACGAAAAGACTTCCGAAAAATGTAACGGAAGATTATAAAATTTTCATTCCAAAAACATCGCGCGGATTAACAAAGATCGGACAACGGTTATTTCAACAGAGTCTGGAAGTTTACGTCTACTCCGTTCTTGGTGCACAAGCCAAAACCCGTTGGAGTATTACAGGACAAGGTGCAAAAAGTT